AGCCTCACCCCTCCTCACGCGCGGCCTCCGCCGCCGCCCGGCCCGTCCCGCGAGCGCTACCTGCAGCGGGGACAACTCCATGGTGACGGTCGTGAAGGGGCTCGAGAACCCCGAAAGCGGCTAAACCGACGGGGGCGACAAGGGAGCGCGAGACGCGAGCAGACGCAACCGCTGCTCCACAGCCGTGCGGCGGTTAGGCGAGTTCCCTGGCACTGCTTTGAACCGGCGGAAACCCGCCCAAAATCAGATAAGCCAATCACTGACTCCCTTTCCGTCCAGAACAACCAATCGTGGCTGGTAATTTATATCTACCAATGAGCTGCTGAAGAGGCCTGCTCGAATGAGCCAATGAGGCAAGGGAGGCGGGACCAGAGAGATTTTTCGAAACATGCCAATCGCCTTCGAAGTGGACAGACCGACAAGGAAACTGGCCAATGAGAGCGTCTATTTCGTCTCGCCTGAAGGACCGCTCTGAAGAGACTGAATTGTAAATGCTGTGGAAAGAGCGAAGGGCGACCCTGAGGTGTCTATTGCCTGAGAGAAAAGAGGGGGAAAGGATAATTATTCTTCATTGTAAGTGTGGCTATAAATATCTGCCTCAATACCCCTCCCTTATAACTTATTTCCAGATAAAAATTTCCCCAGCTGTGATTTTTGGCTTCCACATAATGAGCGGGCAGCACCCAAATCCCCAGCAGTGCAAGCAGTTTAGGAATCAAGCGATCGTTTATGCCTTGGCCCCTGAGTCTCACTGTGTAGTCCAGACTGGCCTTGAACTCCCTAGGTAGCCCAGGCTGGCATGATCCTCCTGCCACAGCCTCCAAAATGCTGGGATGACAGGTAAGCGCCACACACCTGGCTCTGCCTACTTGCAAGTCCAGCTTGTCATCTTAATGGAGAAGTTTACTCATCTTAATGGAGAAGTTTCCCAATATTACAATTTCCTTTACTCAAAAAGAGAATAATGGTAGTATTGCTAGTGAGTTGTTTGAGGGTTACAAGAGACCAGTGTAAGGTATTTAGAAGATCAGGTTCACAGGACTGGGCATGGAGCTCAGAGGAACAGTGCATGTCTGGTATCACGAGGCCCTGTTTTTTTTAAAAAAATAATAATAGTAGGCTCTTGGAATCAGGAAGGAGGCATTTTGTGGATTTAATCTCACTATGCAGCCCAGGCTGGCCTCGCACTCACAGCATCCTCCTGCCTCATCCTCCCATAGTGCTGGGATTACAGGTGTGCGCCACTGCATGCCCAGCTTTTTCTTCGAAAAGAAACCTGAATCCAGGCCTGGTGCATGCCTGTTACCCCAGCACTTTGGGAGGCTGAGGCAGGGGGATCGCCTTGAGTTCATAGCCAACCTGGCTACACAATGAGTTCAAGGCCAGTCTGCATTACAAAGCAAGACCTGCCAAAAAAATAAAAAAATAAAAGAAACCTAGGTCAGGCATGCTGGGGCATACCTGTAACCCCAGCACTCCAGAGGCTGAGGCAAGAGAATCACAAGTTTCAAGGCCAGCCTGAATGGCATAGTGAGACTTGCTCAAAAAAATTTTTTTAAAAATAAGAAACCTGTGATCAACCATTTTTACATGTCCCCAGCATTACCAACATCTGCTCTGCTGGCAAGGCTCTCCAGAGGACCACTGAGGAGGGATTTGGTGTGGCAGGACAATGGAAGGAGCCTGCAGGCTGGGGGACTGGGAAAGCCAAAGGAGTAGAGCCAATCCTCCTGCCTCGGCCTCCCAGACTGCTGGGATTACATGTGTGGTCTGATCCCTGTCTCTGGTTGCTCTCTTCCAGCAACCTCTGAGTGATTTCAGCTCCACTCTCTAACTACATATGTTAGTAAAAGAAGGCACCCCTAATACACGGGGCCCCCCAAACCTCAGAGCATCAGGGAGAAGACTTCCCCTGCCAGGAGGCTGGCCAGACAGTGTGGCACTCTTTGGGGTGTCCCTGGGCCAGACAGTGTGGCACACTTTGCGGTGTCCCTGGAGCTGGCCTTGACACCTAGAAGCCAGCAATGTTGCCTCCAGTGGAGCAGGGTCCAGTGTGGTAGGGGTGAGTGGGCACCTTTCCCTGAGGGTGGCAGTCCAGCCTCATGGCTCCACCCTGGAGGTCGCCCTGCCTGCAGTGCCTGCACGACCATCTGGGGATGAGGTGACAGGGATTTAGAGCAGCTCATACTCTATTTGGGTGGCCCAGCTTTAAATTTCCCCTGCGGTTCAGCTGGATACTGAATGCCTATCTATTCCAAAACCCCAGAAGTGGAGCTGTGGAGTAAAAAGAAGCCAGGTGTGATAGCACAAGAGGCTGAGGCAGGAGGATCACCAGCTAGAGGCCAGCCTGGGCTACAAAGGGAGGCCTTGTCTCAAAAAAAAAAAAAAAAAAAAGGAAAAAGGGAAAAAAAGGCTGAGTTTGTAGTTCAGTGGCAGAGTGCTTGCCCAGCACCAGGAAGTCCTTGGGTTCCATCCAGTACTGCAACAAACAAAAAAATGTTAGAGTCGCACACACCTGAGTTGGAATTCTCCCTGAGCACCTGTTTTACTGTGTCATTCGCCTTTGTGGATGGTGCCGGTGGGCACCTAGCATAGGGTCCTCTGGCGTAGGGTTACCTTGCTCTGGTCCTCAGTTCTCTTTTGGGCACAAGCTCCTTCCTGTGTCAGGCCCTGCCCATTCCAGAGCCTGTCATAGGGTGCCCTGCAAGACTTGTGGGGACCACAGAGCAGAAGACAGATGGAGACCAGGGGGCCAGAGATAGGTGGCCCCGGAAGGCCTCAGGGATCAGGACTCCGAGTCTGTCTCTCTCTTTATCCCCCCTCTCGCACTCTGCAGGGACTCCATCCCCTACTTGCCGGGAGTATGGCCTTGGGCAAGTCACTTGGTCTCGCTGTGCCTCCAAGTCTTTATCTATCCTCCTCCTCATCCAGCGAAATCACACAGAAAAGTGCTTCCTGCATTGCTAGGCACATAGCAAGTGCTGAAAACAAGCTTTGCAATGATCCTCTCTGCTCCTTTCAGGGTGTTTTTCAGTGCATCAGGCCCACAAGTCCCTTCCTTCAAAACCAGTTGGAAAGTCCCCTCTCCAGGGAGGCCTCTCTGACCACCTTTTTCAGGGCTCATTCTAGTCAGAGCTATTTGCATATGTGTCAGCGTATTCTTCCCTTCGGTTCTTTGGTTGTGAAGGGGCAGCCTCTCTCCCACCTGTGGTGCTGGGGTGGAAGCCGGGCTCCGGCTTTGGGGACCAGAGGCTTCAGGAAAGGAACCCCTGGGTGAGGCTGGGCCAACACTGGGCCCCCCGGGTGCTTAGGGCTGGGCACACAGGTTCCATTTACTCTGAGGTTGGTACTGAGGGTCTGGTCAGTCCGCCTCGGGTTGGAAGAGGCCAGGAAAATCCAAAATGTCTCACTGAGAGTGGCCTCTGAACGGCGGCTGGCTGAAGGAGACTGAGGGCCACAGATGGAGCTGGGAGGAGAATTAGGGACAGGCATTCCCTGAGGGAGTAACTCATATCTTGGCCACAGATCTGCTCAGAAATCCCAAATGGACATGTTGCTTGCTACTGTGGGTCTCTACTTTAGTGATAATGGATTTTTTTTTTTTTTTTTTTTGTACTGGGGATTGAACTCCGTACCTTGCTCTTTTGAGGCAGGCAGTGGCACCGCTGAGCTAAATCCCTGGCCCTGTTTGTTGGTTTGAGACAAGGTCTTCCTCTGTAGTTCAGGCTGCCCTTGAACTCCTGGCAACCCTCCTGACTCAGCCTCTCGAGTTCTAGGGTTATAGGTGTGTGCCACCTCATCCAGTTTACTTTAGTGGTAATGGATATTAAAGCTAAAGTATGAATTTGAACCAGGGCCTGGTGGCACCAATCTGTGGAGAGAGGATGAGGCTGGAGGATTGAAAGTTCAAGTCCAGCCCAGGCACTTTAGCGATCTATTAAAACCCTGCATCAAAGTAAGAAATTAAAAAATGGCTAGGGATGCAGCTCAGTGTGACAGGTCTGGGCATGAATAGTCAGGAAAAAAAAACTTAATTAAAAGTAAGAGAAAAGCTGTGACAAAGATCAAGCCGGTCCCCTACCAAAGAAAGTCAGAGCATCAGGGAGAGAACTCAGCCTGAGGAGCTGAGGAGCCCAGCCCCAGCCGCCGCACCCATGAAGCAGGAGGAGGCCTTTAAGGCTCAGCTGCACTGGCTGGGGTCCTGCCGATCACATCTCAGTCCTGGTTTCCTGTCTGGATCCTCATGCCTTGGGCAGCGGTTCCGGTTCCGCTCCATGAACAGTCATCCCTGTCCCTATGTGTGTCCTTGTCCTCTGTGTCGGTTCAGTCCTGCGAGGCTCTGCTTTTCTGGAACCCAGGTGAGTGCAGGTTTTTTTGTTTTTTTGGTACCTGGGATCTTGCACTTGCCAGACAGGTGGTGGAACCACTGAGCTGACTCCCCGGCCCCTAGCGCGAGTTTAGGACAATGGCTGGACACCGCCAAGTGTCGCTCAGGGAGGGCCTGGAAGTGAGAGTTGGTCATGGCTGCCCCCACCTAAAAGGGGAATGAGTTCATTCTGTGGGCGGGTTGCTTTTTTTGGCAGCAGGTACTACAGCCCTGGGCAGGAAGAACATCTCTGGTTTCAGCTCTGAGGAGGAAAAGTTCAGGCTGCCAGAGCCGGCCCAGCACAGCTGAGGCCCAGACTTGTGGCTGTACGGGCGAGGCATGTGTGAGGGGGGTCAAAGGAATCTACCAATAGTCAAGGAATATAAAAAAAGGAAGCGTTTTTGATCCACTGCAGGAAAGCAGCGGCGAGTCCAAGAGAGGATGGCGCCATCATGGTGGAAGGCTGAGATTTTCAAATTTGATTTTAACACAGGGAGCAGGTCTGGAAATGTCACCCGGAAGCACTTTCACCAGACCGTGGTGGTTTTATTGTCCACTCAGTTCTGAGGACAGTCAGGTGCTGTTTGGCGGCTGAGTGAGTTCGACAGTTTGACTGTTGTCACAAACAGTCCCAAGTGGAATTAATGAGCAAATATGTATAGATCAGCTAAGGCTAGTGATTAAGGGGGTTAAATAAAACACATATGGTTGTACTCGGAAGGGACTCGACGTTATACTGGGGTGGGGAGAAATGGTATTTGAGATGTGAGAAGTAGTCGTGATGATTGTGTCACTCTTGGGCATAGCTTCGAAGGTCCAAAGTTAATATTCTGCTAGGGACTCGTCGCCGTGATTTCCCACCCCTATGACTTCCCTCGCCTCACTTCATGGGCTGCTGGGGCCCCAGGACCACCCAAGTCCAAGAGAGGCTCCCAGAGATGGTTCTGATGCAGGATGGGTTCGGAATGCATTTCTAGCTCTGCCTCCTCGCCTCAAAAGGAAGATCCAGGCTGCAGGGCCCATCAGGCTGCAGACCACCAGGCACGTGCAGAGCTTGTTGTACCTCTGGACAGTTGGAAGTCAAAAGTAGCAATGCACCTGATCAAGGAGAAGCCGGGTCAGCACCAACCACTGTCTGTGGTGGTGGTTGGGACTCCACGTCAACTTGTAAAACCTAAGCTTCAGGAGCAAATCTCACAGGACAACTATGTCTACACAGGTATGGAGAGAGCTGAGCCCGACAGCCACGGTCTGGAA